CCATATCCAATAGGTATCTCAGTATGACAGACATGAGGTTCCTTAAGACAAGTTTTCTGTTCTTCAACAACAAAAGAGAAGACACAAAAACGAGAAGTTGAGTGAAAGTTAACAATCGAGTTATGTGTTTCCTAACTGGCAAATGCCTTGTGCACACAGTAATTGCTTCCTTTCCTTCTCCTCACTAGGAAACAGTAAAATGGAGGGGAGCATGTAGGAGAAGCTTGTGAGGAGTGGAGAGGGCTGTGGTGTAGTGAACAGGAAGGGGACTGTGAGCAAACCCATGAGCTGCAAGGAAAGGAGAAGCCACTCGTGAGAACTGTAGAGGGAAAGACGTGGAAGGAAACCAGGTCCAGGCTCAGAAGTATGAGGACGTTTTGGCATGGATTCTAGTGCCAAAAGGTAGGGAGCAACCTGCTAGCTGATGACCATTGTTGACCCTCATTTTGCAGCCTTCCTCAGCCAATGAATTGAGATACGATAGCACCACAGGCATACGCAACAGCTCTGCTTTTATCCAAGATGTGAGCAGAGGCTAAGTAATGAAAAAGGAGGGTATTACAATAACGTTCGTTATCATTTTAAGGATGAAACTAATGCAGCGTGAAAAGGACCAATGGGGGAAAAAAAGAGACTTTTTGGTCTGAAACACACTTCTGTAGAAAAGTTTTCACACTGCTTGCAAACACAGCCAGCAATTCCAATATGCTTCCAAACATGTCTCCTAACTGCAGTTAAAAGAAATAATTGCCCTGACTCCTATGGGGTTTTGAGTCTGGCCTGAAGGGCATTATTCTTATCTGCACTACATTTAAAGCCCTTTGACACAGCCAGAACAGTAAATATGAGCTTAGCGTGCATGAGAGTTGGGCTGTTTGTGAAGAAAGAAGAGTTTCTCTAGAGAAGATCCCTAACACGACAAGACTCTCTTCTCTCTTTCTTTCTCGGATTGCAACCAAAGCAGCCAGTGTGCACCTGGCTGTTTGAGAGCCGATTAGGCCAGCGGGCAAGGCTGTCCAGAGGTCTAAAGTATATTGTCAGCATGCCAGCATATCCACTGTTAGTGACAAGTAAAAGGATGTCTCTAACACTACTCTATGTAAAGGATTATTCAGATACACTTTCCCTGAGTTTATAATTCCCTTGCATAGACAACAAAGAGAAAATATGCTTAAAGCAGAAAAATCAGCTGATGAGTAATTCCTGCTTCAAAATGAGAAAGCAATAGCTATTACCATTCGCATGTTTTGCTCTGTGGGTTTCCTCTACAGAGCGATATTAAACCACTAGCCATTTTGCCTGATGATAATATCCACAAAGTGAATTTCTTCAGACTGGTGCATAAAATTAAAGTTAACTGAAGGTCTGCCGTGGTTAATGAAACCCTGTAAAAATGCAATTCTTCTTTGAGTCCTAAAACACACATACGTATGTGATGATATCAGAGTAGTATGGGTGAAATTATTAGTAGAACACCCATGTGCACACACACACACACACACACACATTAATCATTACAGTCTATTATGATAAAAAGGATTTGTCACACATAGATATTTGAAAATAAATGGAAATTGTGTTTATGATTCTAGTCATCATGAGGGAAAGAAAGTTTTGCATTTTGTGCAGAATAATTTAGCATGGAGACTAAATTCATCAGGAAGCTAATTTTGTCCTTGTAAAGCAATGTAATATGTGTAAGGCCATCTCTATACGAGATTATTAGATGAGAAAGTAATAATACAGTGTGTTATCTCACATTCCTATGAAGCCAATAAAAAGCTTGTCAAAGTTTATGTAAAAGTTCCTATGATATTCAGCAGCCTTTCTGATGATTCATGAGAAAAACCGATTATGAATTCTCAGAAAATAAATATTTCCTTTCCCAAAGTCAGACTATTCCTAAACAGCTGGTCAGTGTAGTGTAAGCAGTGCCTTGTCCCCTTAAGAGGTACATCTGTATATTACATGGAAAAAACACATAGAAAATGTTACACTCCAAATTGTGTCAGCCTGAAACTAGGAAATGCAACTCTTTTGATTGTGCAGTCTGAATTTGCCCTTCTTGAATACATCCCAGAGCTGGAACAACCCAGGAGTTATGAGAATGGACCTGACTGCGATAAGCTGGCAAATGAACTCAACACCACAATTTAGAATTTAGTCTATGCTGGTGAAAGTAAAAATTCATTAGCTGTTGACAAATAACTATTTGGCCTACATGGAAATGAGCTCGGGTCTCAGTGCAACTCCTATATCATAATCTGCTAATAGTGCTTATACCTTCTTCGTCTCCAAGTACCTCGCAATCTTTACAACGTATTTATCTGCCTAATGCTTTTGCGAGACAGTGATGTGCTGTTTCATCCTGCTTTATAGATTGAGAAGATCAGTTACGCAAATAGGCTCAACAAATCAAAGGACTACTCAGTAAAGGGCTCTTGCATTCAGCCATGTAGCATCTAACTCTCAGCTACCTTGTGCTTAGTTTTCTTGTACACAGGAGAGAAAAAGCAAACATAGTAAGTGATGACATGCTTATAATACTCAGTGGAAAATGCGTAGGACAGATGTGGGGCTTAGGTGCCTGGCTCTGAGCTTGAAGACGATTACCTTTGCTAGTCAGGTTTTACTGCTACAATTTTTTGCCTGGGTTTGGCCATCTATCTAGCTATATGGAGCTCACTAGGGGTCACCTCAGATATCTTCAACAGGAAACTGAATCCAGGTCTCCTTCCTCTCTGAGAACCAGAACACACATCACCTCTCTCCCACATAAGCTGCAATCCCAAATACCAGCCAAATTAACTGTGTCAAAAAAAAAAAAAAAACCCTCAAGGGACTAAAGAGTGGTTCTCCAATCGGGGATATGGTGGCTACAGGGTATGGAGAATATGTCCTTTTGCGATTGCTCCTCCCGTTCTCTCAGTGAAGAAATGACTTTGCTCAGTGCTAGGCTTCAATCTGACATCTTTCATAATGCTAAAATTCATTAATCAACAACGAAAAAAAGAAGATTCCTCTGCTGAGTGCCCAGTATTCCTCCATTGGTTGACATAAGGCTGTTGAAAACGCATGTGTCATTCCTGTGCAATGTGACAGCGTAATTGGACTTGACAAATCAGCGAGTTGCCATATTAAGCCAAGGAAGATTCAAGGACAGACTTACATTTTTTTCAACTTTCAATTTTACTTCATTTTATTTTATTTTATTTATTTAATTTCATTTTTACACTATTTTTCTGTCACATGAGGGTGTATATAGGACCCTTGAAAGCAGCATAGTGCTCCCATCCCCTTAGCTTTGTTTACAGGTCTAGTGCTTGAACTGTCTGAATAGAGAGAATTATTTTTCCCTCTCTGGTTGAAAATCATGAGACGCCTATAGACTAATGTTAACAGGGATAGGAACAATTAAGCTTTTATCTCGATGGCTAGGGCCCAGGAACACTCCCACAAGTAAAATCCTTTAAGAAAGTCATATCTAGAAGGACATTATATTCCATTTTCATTTTCACTAATATTTAAGGCAAAACTCACAAGGCAGGGAAGTTAGAGCCATATCCAGTGTGTCAATGGTGTCTAAAATTACACGGAAACTCTTCGTGGCTGTAATAGGATGATTCCTTGTACCATGTATGGGCCCATCCATTTTCTACTTAATAAGACCGCATTTAGGCAGCCTCCTCTGGTGAAATTGTGTTTTAGGCTAACTCTAGGGTCTTAATCCAGCAAAGGATCATTTCTGGTCTTGGGCAATCAGCAGGTCCCAACATTAGTTTACTCAATAATTATGTGCCTGACATCTGGTCTGGTGGAGGGCGGTCATTTTTGTGTCTTCCTATAACTTATGCTGCAATACTGCCAAATCCCAGCCTGCTTGTAAGCAAATAAGAAGTGGAAGGATTCTTCTATCTTTTTTTTTTTTTTTTTACCTTTCCTTCTTTCAGGCTTAGTCCCTTTCCTATTTTTATCCCTCATTCTGAGCTTAGTTAGTCTCGTCTCCTTTGTGCTATGCCTGTTATTTTGGGCTATGTCCATCCTTTATGTAATTGCTTCTGAAAGGCTTAAGGTAAACACAGTAGAGCAGACTGATAAACAATCGCTGCAAGAAAGCCAAGTACAATAAAAGATAGCAGCATGGAGCAATATTTGGGAGTAGGATGTAATTTTAAAGGTCAATAATGCGCCAAGGAAATTTCGCCTGAAGCATGGTTCACGTTGATAACAGAGCTGGATTGGTTGTCTTTGGATTTTTTTACCTGCTAAATGAGTTTAACATTCTACCTCTGAGTTTATCATTCTGTCTTCCATATATCTCTTCAGGCTTTTTCTTTCTTTCTCTCTTTCCTTCTTTCTCTCTTTTTCTTTCTTCCTTTCTCTTTTTTCTCTCTCCTTCTTCCCCTCTTTCTCTCTCTTTCTTTCCCTTTCCCTTTCCCTTTCCCTTTCCTTTTCCCTTTCCCTTTCCCTTTCCCTTTCCCTTTCCCAACAGATTTATCACGGTTTCTAGAATAACTTAGAAAGTCTTGAAGCACATCTGCTTAGTATTTATTGCAATCATTTTTTCATGTCCTAGTCTTCTGCAGAAAATACTGCCTGGATCAGTAAGCCAACAAACAGGGAATAGGTTTTTAATTTCCAGGTGGTATTGCCTGTTGGATAAGTATCTGTACTATCATAGTTGAGTTTTCTGTTATCTGTTTCTATGTGATCTGGGAACAAACTGCTTCAGCCCTCTGTGTTTGTTTCCCTCTCCATCCTTTGTCCATTGTGGCAGTTTCATCCGAAGTTTTAAAGACCGAAATTGTCACGGAGAGACCTTCGTCTCCCCGTGGTCTTCAAGCCCTGCAGTGATTCTGCTAATCATGTTAAAAGCGAGCAATGAAATAAATTCAGGAGAACACAGTGAGTTCTAAGATTTTTTCATTCTGAGTTTTATTGTAAGAACTACAACTATATTTATTTGAATTTTAAAACATATTTAAGTGTTACATCTCACTATAATAAACTTTCAACTTTTAAGATAATAAAAACCCTGACAACAAGGATATAGTAATGACTGCCCAGACTTTAAAGTGACTAAAGGTTCCTCAGTTCTTCACTTCTAAGTTGACACCTTGAGGAAGCCTCATTTTTGAAAGGTGGGTGCCCATATTCATATTTTTTGCCAGTTGAACTATTCAGATTAGGACTCTGAAATCACTGATTACTGCTCCAAATTTGGCAATAAACATCCTAATATAGCAGCAGTTCTTTTATGACTAAAAGAAAATCTACAAATCAAAATAAAATTGCTAATGCTCTGTTGGATTTTATTTGATTTTATTTTTTTCACCAGGGTGCTCAAAGCCCTGTACAAAGACAAGTGAGGGTGGTTAACAGAGTTTGGTTTTGATAACCCCAAGATTTACATTTGCAGATTCTACCTGGTACTCTGCTCTTGTCTATCTATCCGTCCACACGGACAAATTCCCACACCAGTAAGTGCAAATATGGGTGAGAAGAGTAGGGTCTGCCTCTCCTCTTTGTGTACAAAAATGCTCTGTTTTTTTTGATAAGGTATCCTATTTGGTCCCATGCAGCACTTATTCTGTGTACTGGTAAATGACGGCACAAGTTGCTAGTCAATGAGGAACTTGAATAATGAACTATGTAATTTTCTTGGTGTGTTTGTGCAATGCTTCCCCCATGTCCTGTGCAGGCCAAGACAGAGTGGCTGCAATTAGGACCTCTCAGGCAGCTCCTTGGCAGGCTCTGCGTTTACTGGATCCACGATAAATCACGATGTTTTTTCTGGCCCAGGCTGTAAGAAAGATAACCGAAAATGATTTCACTAGGCCGTTCTGGCTTTGGCATTTATAGACTCCCTACCTATAACAACATATATTACAGAGACAGATACCACAGCCATATAACAGACTCTGTGCCACAGGCTAGGAGTGGGCACTAGATTATAAATGCTGAAGCATACGCTATCAAATGCAGCCACATCTGGGGCTGAATGTGGGAACCCTTGCACACAACTTATCTGCTATATAGGACAGACATAACATCATTCACGCAGCAGCATACACTGCTGTTCTGAGATGTGTGAAATGAGTGCTGCCCATGAGTGCATCTGATGCTTTATCGTCCCTTGATGGAATCAGCAGTGTCTACAGTTCCATTGGGAGAATTAGGCATGGCCGGGGGATGTCATTTTAATGAAGACTTAAGGCAGAATTCTGATCCAATTAAAAAGAATCCCTCCATAAAGTATTAAACTAAACCCCATCATTATTACAAAGTTTGAACAGGAATACTACAAGTCTCCTGGGGGAAGTTTTTGAGACTTTTTCTCGTACAGAGCTGGCATGTCTCTGAGGTTCTCCTCAGTCTCCATCAACCTTATTTCTGAAAACAAAGATCAGAAAGAGACTGCATTTGCAATAGAGCTCTTAGCACATCTGACATACAAATGCAAAAGGCAATTAATGCCATCAGCTACAATTAATAGCACTAACAGAACAATGCCCAGGAGGCAGCCACATATGGGTCTTAACACAAGATGATAATCTTAACAAAGAAGGATGAATTTCTTGTATTAACTAATTATGTGTTGCTCTAGGTATTTTCTCTTTTTCCTTGCAATGAAACCTGTATCACAAGGAGGAAGTAAGCCTCCCATTTTTCCTGGTCTACAACTCTAATATTAAAGTCCAACCTGTATATATGCTACTATAAAAATTTGGTAGTTTGCAATTATCCTTATATTAAAGCCAAAATTTTCCTGTGCATACATTTTGCTGTCTCTGCCGTACAACCTCATTTCATACTTCCATTTGTAGTTCAGTAAAATTCAGCAAAAAAACCTCTGACTTTATTTGCATTGTTTCTCCCTCTGTTAATTCCTGAATAATGCAGACATGGACACATGACTGAAAGCATTGAATTGTCACTCACTGGCTGATCCCTAACAATCACCAGTTGGGGTCTCAGTCTATGCAGTCTTAGTCGCAAAATAAAACATGCTGGCTTGAACTGCTTTTGTGGGGGTTTTCTTACGTAATTCGGGTTGGCTGGCAATACTCTCGCTGTTATTATGAAGCTGTGAATTAAATCAACGTGCTGTGCTGTCCAGGATGACCTTATCCGATATAAGCTTCTGAAAGAATTATATTGCCTCATTTCTTTAAGATTTCATAGTACCTAATCCTGGCTGATCAACCTAGACAAAGAACGTTGGTACCCCATACTTCACACTCAAGGATACATTTTATATGTAACGTATACAGACCCCAGATACTACCCCTTAATACGGATGATTATATATAAGGTCTTGATCTTGAACCAAATTCCAGCATAGATAATAGACATGAGGTGGACAAAGTAGCATATGGTCCCAGGCAGGACTCCAGCATCATGTCTCCAGTGCAGAAGAAACTCTAAAACAACATACCTTATATCACTCTAGGTTCACCTTTTCTTTCTTTCTAAATCAGTTCCTTCACCTTAACCAATAATTTCTCGTACTTGTGACTAAGTGCCGTTTGCTCTATCTCTTTCTGGCATTCAGGCATCCTGAACTAAGACAGGCCTATTCATCTTCCTGCATTGCAGATCTGCATAAGTGAACCCACCAGCTTTAATATTATTGGCAGTTTCGATGCACCTAAACACAGTCATGTCTGTAGAGAGTAGTCAGATACTGCTTTTCCATGTCCCCAGAAATGGTTCTTATCTCTGGAAAATGTTCCGGACCAGTCTGAAATAAGCAGGTGTTTTGCTATTGATTCCAAGAGGCCTAAACTTTGGCTGTTGCTCCCTTGATAAAAGCAATATCGCATTTTCAGAATGTAATGACATAAACATGCTTTTATCACACAGCTTATCATGCTCCTCTCTACTCTGTGTACTTTTCGTGTAATAGGTTCTGCACCAGTACTCAAGCCTAAAGAAAGATAAACAGAGCAGGAGTTAAACAAACACACAGAGCTGCTTCCTGCGACAGTGAAACTCAAGAGTGATTCAGAATTTGCAGTTCTGTGGAGGTGACTTCAGTCCTTCCGCTGGCAGAAATGGAGACTTCTTCCCTTGTCTTGTCATTGCACCAGTCTGGCTTCCACCACTCAAGTTTGCTGCTTTTTTGCCAGGCATCTGCCCTGAAGAGGCTCTTTGTCACTTTATGCCTGGGATCCCTGCACACCTCCCTTCTCTTTTTCTGACTGACCTTCACTTCTCCCTGTCCAACAAAATGAAGCTTGAGCATTTACTAGCTGTATTTACAGTGTCATAAAATATTACTTGCTGAGGGACTTACATACCCCAGTATGATTCTGTTTAGTGTAATGGGAAATCATTGTGCAAGAATATAACCCTCCGATTTTTATCTTATGTCCTTGTCTTCCCTTTGTGTCCCATAGTATTCTAATTAAGCTGTAATTTGGAAGCTCTCTAAGATAGGGATATATCTGCTTTTGCTCCTGTAAAGTACTTTATAGCCTGGTGTAAAGACAGACAGAAATTTTGCAAATCAGTTTGCTGGCATGTCACCAATATAGGGGTTGTAAGTTAATACTGAGCTCAGGAAATGGATAGCTCTGTGAAATCTACTTTGTTTTATTGTTAATATGTCTTAAATCCAATCCATTCTCTTCAAGTGTCAGTTATGTCTGTCTGAAGGGCTTTCTAGGACACAGGGAGATAGACTTTGAAAACATACCATTACGGCTTCTTTTCCTATTAATTTCATTGGTGACATCATATTATTCTCAATAACAATTATGATTTGATTTATAAATCTCACACTGGTCATCTGGTCATCCAGGGCTCCATTGTGCTTGCATAACTTACACACCACATTGACCAGAACTGTCTCACTGGGGCATTTTTGTATTATCTATTGGTCTATTAGCATCTATATGTTCTACCTATTATCTTAGTGTTAACTTACAATTTATCGATGGCAGAAAATTTCTTGTTCTCTCTTTGAATAGCATTTAGCCCAGTGAAAACCTAGCCCATAACCTGGACTCCTGTGAGTTGCAAGAATATAAGCCATACATAATAAAAGAGCAGTAATTTGGATCTCAGGAGACTTTTATTGTATTCTTGCTCCTCCTACACATACCCTATGGCTATAGCTATCCTACTACATGGTCCTGATCACATTCATAGGCTTCAAGTCTCATGTCCCTTAAATGGGATGGCTGTATACAAGGCTGCTTTTTGGAGAAGTCTCTAAACCAGGGTACCCAAACCACGCCTCGAGAGCTATCAGGGCCACTTTCATGTCATGGAATTGCCCCAAGGCACGGTTTGGGGTACTGTGCTATAAAAAAAATCGTCCAGGTGATGCCAGGCCAGGGGTCCAGCCATAGCCTCTTTTATTTATTAGTGTAGATATAACCCATGTGCCTTTGACTATGACATTCACCTTTGTGTCCTCTTCTTTGTGCATTTGGGATCTTTTTCTCTTATCTTCCTCTTGTTTTTCTCTTTTCTTTTATATACAATCTACACCGTCCGGTTCTCCTTTATCATCATTGACAGCCACTATAAAAAGTGCTAACAAGTGGGCTAGAAGGAGGACTGATATAGCCAGATTAAGAGACAATGTGAGTCTGGAGAAGACTGAGGTGAAATCCAGAAGCGATGCTGTGACAATGAAAGAAGAGAGGAGAAAAGGGCATGAAGAAACTAACTCCATCTGCCAAGAAAGGTAGGGAGGAACATCTTTTAGATATATTAGTTTATGACAAGTGCCTCCAACTTATCTAGTAAAATTAAAACATAGCTTCTAGTTTCCTAGGCACGTGCATGTTCTGGGGAGAGACACATTAATTAATACTAAATACCTAACCATTGCCTGCCTCAGCTTTCAAGATGCATTATAAATATTGACAAGAAGGATCATTAAAAACAACACAGATCGAAAGTTCAGCTTGATTTGTAGAAATTGCCTAGAAGCAAAGGTGCTGTGAAGATGGATGAGTTTGTTAAAAAGGAAAGAAGATTTCAAATATCACTTTGTAAGAAAATGAATAGCTCCTTCCTAGCTCTGCAATGTGGGCACAAATACACACATATGCACAGGGCAAAGGAAAAAAAAAAAAAAAGAAAACAAGCTGTTCTCATTATCATGGAAGCCCATAGGCTGCTGAAAAATAGCTTGTGCCTGGCGCTGCCACCTGACAGAAATTTTTCAAGGGCTGGACCACAATTATCAAAAGTTTTTTAGACTGACCTATCATCCGTTCCTGCCTGCCGCTCCCTGCCATGCTGACCTGCTTCTATCTCTGTCCCCTGACTCAAACGGACAGGGAGAAAGCCAACAGTATGACACAGGAAACCTGTGATTTTCCTTCTCTGGAACAGCATGTAATGAGAACCCTTTAGGGTTAGGGTTTTTTAAATCAGAAGTTGAAGTATTTGGAACATTTAAAAAGAAATTTTTAGATCACCCAGTGGAATTAGAAGATGTTCTTTCAACGGGCCGGGGCAGATTTGCTTTTACATCTCTGATCTTATTTTGAAGATCTTCATTCAATTCCATAAAACTGAAAGTTATTTAGGAAGGCATTTAGGATTATATGAACTTCCCATTCACTGTCACACCCATCAGAGATGATGCTTCTGCTGAAACTCCTAATCTTTTGAGGGGAGACTTATAGACTGAAGAATACTTCTGGAAGTCAGGAATGTTATCTATAAAGACTACTTTTTTTTTTTTTCTTCTTGTGATCATAACATATCTCTCTGCCAGAATTCTTTACTTTCTTTATCCTGAACTACAGCTCCTCTCTTGTTTCCTCACTTTGATATTAATATACTGCTGAGTTGAATTCTAATGGTTGGCATAATGATCAATTCCCTGTAAAACATTTTGTGCCCAAAGTACTGTAGAAATCTTGAAAAATTTTGCTGCTATAAATTGAACAAGTTAGGGGATAACCAACCCCTATTATAACAAATGAATAAAATTTTATTCATCAGAGAAATTTATATGAACTTGAAATTTAATTTAATGCCCCCAAACTCAATAATAATGTTGCAATTGACTTAATCTGGGTGAAGCATCAGTCTTCAGGAAACCCACATGCTACAAAACAGAGGGGGAGCGAAGGTAAATTTACCCAACACCAAGATTTGCTATGAAATCTCCAATGCTCAAGTGATCAGTTGGAATATGTACTTTACAGTTTCATACAAATAAACTGGAACATCATAAACTGTATGGAACTCTTTTTTTATTTCAGAGGGTTCTGGTAATAAACTCTCCAACATCTTGTAAGGTAAGACTGACACAGAATTTTAAGGATGTTTAGACTCCTAATTTAAAAAAAGAAGAAGAAGGAAAAAACACTAGCTCTTTCGGTTTATGCGTCATTATTTCCAGCCTTCTACATTTTTCTCCATAAGCGTTTCTCTCCTTGTCTCCCCAATGGGTTTTGTTAAACTGCTGTTGTACATAAAATATGGATTTTAGTAACATTTGGATACTATTTCCCTTCTCCTCGCATTATGGGACGGGTATTTTCCCAAGACTATGTAAAATAACATAGATCCTCAGATGACATTCTGGCAATAGCTAAAAATCTGGGAAGGGAAGGCAGAGAATTCTTGGGGGAAACTGATGAAAATGTCAAGGAGAGGGGAGGAAACATGTAACATCTCCATTCCTGAAACATACTCACTGACTGACAGGTTACATTTTGCTGTGGATAAAGATGATTGCGTAGATGTTCTACATCATGCAGAAAATGGATGTGCCCACACTGGAATCTTTCTCTCTGTTTTATAAAATACCGTGGAAGCTTTATCACAAACCCATCCATGACTTTGACACTAGCGCTAAATATGCTGTTACAAAACCCAAAATCAATAGGCTAGAAGGAGAAACAATCCTTCAAACCAACCCCAGCTGTCATAGGCACTACTGTGTGACCACATCTTTGTAGCTACATCTGCCAATGATCCATGTAGAAAACTTCCCTGTCAGAAACACCAAGAAGTTCTGCATGAATTCAGAGGCCAGAATAGAGTCAATTATTTGCCTTGAAATAACATATTTCATATTTTTGAAAGTATTTCTGAACAACACATTTCTGAAACGCGAAGAAACAAACGTAGTGAACCAAACACACCTTTACTTTTATAGAGCACTTGGAGGTCTCTTGATTAAAGTGCTGTGTAAACACTGAATGCAATTACATCTAACTATCTGGGAAGCATTATACTACTAATACTATTTTTATTTTCCAGAAAGACTGTGGAATCAAGGTTTTCATTATCTGTGGCCACTTAAGATTCCAAGTTACTTTTGCTAAAGAGGGAATGATAGTTTTGGTGTCTGGGCGAAGTTCCAAACGAGTAATTACATTTTGCAAGCTTACATTCCTCCTCAAGTTTTATATTAGATAAAGTTCTTTTCACTTAGCAATGCTGCTTTTTAAATAATGACATCTAAGCCAGAGGCAGCTGCGTTTCACTGATGGGTAAAATAATTCCTATGTAAATAAAATTTGAATAAAACACGTGCTTTGTGGTTTTCAAAATGCAATGTCCACTCCAACTCATGCTTTTCATCCGTTATATGCATAGAATAAAATCCTATAATGCAGACAAAACAAAAATCCATCAAATCTTTGGCTTCAAGGAACAGCCTAACCACGTGCAATGGGGAAAAATGCTCTGGGCAATTCACATTTTCTTTCAAATGTTTTGTTCATAAACAGCTTTTAATGAAATGGCGTTTAAACTGACTATAGTGCATATAAAAATAAAATAGCTATTCACCTGCTGAAAATCTCATTAGGAAAAGTCCAAATAAAATCAACTGAAATTAATAAATCTGTGATCTTCCTTCAGATATATTTTAGAAGTCTCCAACTCAGTAAATAATTAATTGGCATGAGTTTTTGCTTCAGTTCAGAAATATAAACTCTTGCAGGATAGATTAAATGTGCTTTACTTACTAATGATTCTCAATGCATCAAAGCTGAGAGGCAGCACTAAGGCAGAAGAGCTGAAGTGAATAAGTAAAAGGCAACAGTGAAACTGTCAAGCTATACTAAAGTGTTTGCAAATCAGATAGTTCTCGAACACAAAATATAGTTCTGTTCGCAAAGAATAGTTCATAGTGTTGCTGGTGGCAATCTGTAGAACATTACTCAGTACGATGTTATTGCGTTCAATGTTTTATTCCAGATGAGAAGGTATATTTAAAGTTACACAGAGAAATTTCCTTCAGGTGTTTTTTCTGTGAACAATCCTTTTACCAAGAAGAAAAGGAAAGCTGCTCCTACAGCCCTGTTAGGGACAGGAAACACCATCCCTTTGCAGGAAGTGATCCACGTTTGGGAGAAAGGGAAAAAAAAAAAAAAAGATGATGGCAAACCTGTGCTAGAAGAATATCTCCTTTCTCAAGGCATATTGTCTGCACTAGGCATTTCTGCATGGCGAAAGTGGGCTTGCTTTATTCCTGCCCTTATGCCTTTGATGTGCTGGCGACTCACTCATCCCCATTCAAGCTCCTCTCAGGCCAGGAGCAAATTACCTTTTGCAGTAATATCCAGATACCTGTGACCACTAACACTGCTCTGTGATCCCATTTTTCTAAAATGCTTGGGTTTGTTGGACAAAAAACCCTTGAAAGTTAAGCAGAATAAAGTATAAGTGGTATTATTACTGCCCAATAGTTCTTACTAGGCAAAATCTCGTTACTGATCAATCTCGATACTGATTAAACTGGTCAAATTTCTTAAAATTTAATGGATTTTACATAATCTAGAGTAATTACAGTGTCTTCCCAACTTGTGAAGGTATCTCTAAACTTCCTAAAGGATGTCCTGACTGTGCTGAAGTCAGTGATAATTTCCCCATTTCTTTTGTCAAGCCAGAATTTTGCCCACTCTAAGATGCTTAGATTATTTTACCTTATATTTAAATACATATTTTACTCTATTCCACTCTCCAGAACCAGCTTAGAGTCATGGGGAGCAGCAGCTGGGCATGGGACCACTCTCCCCAGGTCCCATGTTGGATAACTTGGACACTTGGATCCATTTCCCAGCTGCAGATCTCAATTGGTTTTGTTCACATTAAGTCTGGAACTGGGGTTTCCAGCTCAAATGTCAAAGCATTTCATGTTCTCTCAGTGCTAAAACCACTTCAGCTTCTGCTGTGCATGTGGACTTGCTGATCTGGGTTTCTGTCACTTAAGAAATCTCCAGAAACCATCTCTCTGTGGAGGGCACAGCACTTACGTGAGAGGGGATCCCTGCACTTACCTCGATTGCTCACCCTCACCCCTGCCACTGCCAAATGGAGCTAAGCAACATCACTTCAATCAGGGATTTGTCCTAACCTACAAAGATCCCTGATTTGATATGTCAGCTCAGTGAGCGAAGAGAACCAAATGGGCTTTGTACAAACTACTTCAAGTCACTTTCTTTTCTGATCCCCCCTACTGAGGGAAACGCCTCCTTCATTAGCTTTTGAAAAGCAATTAACGAATCAAAGTTTTGACTTACTTAGACTATTAATCCTTCAGAGCAAGGGCAGCTTCTTCCTCTGTCTGAGCAGTATGCAGTACAGCAGGGATCAAATCTTGATGGGGTCATCTGTGTGGTGCTGCATGGTTAAAATATAATGATAATAATAAAAATATCAGAGGCACTTACTGATCGTGGTGCAAGCGTGCAGGTGCTTTCAAGCACGAAAAATTTCCTTCTGTACGTTTACCTTCCTAAAGGCTAGCCAGCCCCTGCTGTGACTGTGAACACACATCTCATTTTGATTAAGGTATATTAGCATTGCAGCCACCTTCTTCACTCAGGAAGTGTGTTCATTTCCCCTGGCTGAATAGGTGTTTTGCATGTTCATTTTAGACACAATCCTAGCTCTATAATCATTGCATAATAATTACTTATTCTTCTGTTTTACCAAGCAATCAAGGGCTAGCACTGTCATAGTAAATAAGTTTACCAAAGAAGCAATCACAGTGAGTCATTTTCATTCATCTAAATGACAGGCACTGATATCAGAATACACCTAGGGGCATATTTTAAGTATTAGTAAAGTGATTAAGAGAATAGTGCATTTCAACTATGGACTTTGTTCACAGCTCATTGACAGCTCAAGATGGCATTAATAGTCTTTGTATCAGTACTTGCAAGACTGGTATGATCCCTAGTGAAATATTTCTGCTGGTATCACTGTATATCAGATCAGGCACCTGTATACAACATATAGCAATCCAACTCACTGAGGGGTGTTCCGACATGTATTATATTATAAGGGAGTGTTGAGGGCCATAGTGACTCTTCACTTTATCAAGAATTCACAATATTCCAAATAATAGGAAACATATCCAGAGTCGTGCATGCTTTTCAACTTTAAATCTTTGACTTCTTCCATTGGCATAATGAAAATCGAGTAAATAGCTACAGTGAGCCCTGAACAAGCAGCCCCGAATTCAGCTCCTAGTCCTGGCAAGGACTTACAATATGACCTTGGGCAAGGTCAAGTCCAGATCTTCCGTACCCCAGCTTCCTCATCTGCAGAATGGTAATAACAATTCCTACTGCACAGAAGGAAGACTGTGGGGCTTAATTAACATCCATAAAGCACCTTGAAATTCTTAGATAAAAGGTGTTGTAAAAGGGCAAATGTAATTACTGTTATTATAGTGGTGTTGCTATAAAATATTCATGGTATAATGGCAAGTCCAGTGAACATTAAGAAGCTTGCAAGATCAATTGCTGTGCATGAATGCACAAGCGCATTAGCAGGTTGTATAAGATGCAAGGCAATTCCCTTCCAACGATCAGGGTCCCATCCTGCAAAGAGCCAAGTGCCCCAATTTTCCACTAGACTTGATGAGAGGATTTTGAAGATAGAAGGAACGGAGAGCTCTAGCACCTTGCAAGGTCAGGCTCTTAAAAATATTAGAAACTCTCATCATGAAAAAAAATGCTACGAGATTTTCTCATACTGATCAAAAGCACTGCAGTAAACTGTAGTGTATTGATGTGCTGGTACATATCACCAAAGAATGAAGGGCCAGATCCACAACTGATATAAATCATGGCAGTATTTCTAAAGTCAGTGCAGCTATGCTGATTTATGGCAGTGAAGCTCTTGAGAACATAAAGTGTTCTTGAGGGGATTTTTTTTAAGACATAGATGAGAAATACTTGATAATTCTGTTACCAAATTAAACTAGCTTTGTAAGTATTGAGAAAAAAATTAAAAATACTTTTTAAAGACTCTTTTGCTGTGTATTTAAACAGAAAAAGTGTTGTGATTACTTTATTATTGAAATAGATGTAAAAATTAACTCCTTAGGATTTTAAACAGCAACCGAATGCATTAGGGGTTTAAATTAATACTGTTCCTCCTGTTCCGGAATTTTTTATTACCTAGAGGTTCACAGAACCAGCTGTTTGGTTTGGAGCAAGTTATCATTAATGACTTTCTCACCAGCTGCAAGATTTGCTTAATAACCAACAGTGCTATTATACAATGCAGGTATTTAAGGACTTCTAACTCAAGGACTTCTAAGTGAGGATAATAGTAAAAGTTATATGAAGTCACTGGTAGCACACTGGCTGGCTGCATCTTCTGAGATATCTAGTTTTGACACTCTCAGCAGTACTATCATCACATCTCACCCCTTCTTTACCCCACATCTGAACAGATGTCCACTGCTTTCAGCCTGCTCAAAAGGTGGTACCATCTTTATTTCATGTGAGCATTCACTAGCTCTTCTACCTTCAGGAGTGTTTTGGCATCCTCCCTTTCACTTCATTCCTTCCAATATTCATTTGGCCTTTCCTCAGATTTTAATGGCTTCACATAACAAAGTAAGATTTCCTAAAATATGAATCCCAGTACTGCAAAAGCAATATCAAATCTTGCATTTACTCCAGTAAGATGCTCTGGGACTTTAACGGAATGCTTTTGGGGAAGAGAGCATTTCTCTTTAGCTCCCTGAAACCATCACACTGATGTATAAAGAAAGAGAGATCTCCCAGTGCAAATAAATACAGCTGAAGCAGCCAAAATTTACCTTACTCTCTTGTAAGCCCTGTGTAAAGATTGTGGTTTGGAATATATCCCTGAAGCTCTGGAGAGACTAGGTGTAACTACATTTAAAATTTTTCAGATGATACGTTTCTCCATTAGAAATAGCAGAGTCGAAGCTGTAGTGAGAGGATATATTTATTTTCAGTGAAGATCAATTGGAACCATGAAATCCATGCCTATAAATAATAGAGACCCTGGCTTCCTGACTGCTTGGTAGGTCCAAGAAGCTATGAGTCTGGAGGACTAAGAGTCTGACCTTCACAAGCTTCCTAGGGCTTTGGGATCTCATCTGGCCCATTTTCATAGGACAGATACACCACAGCTCCAAGTCTCTTGAGGTAAAAATCAAATTTCCCAACCTACCAGGTATCTGGCAGCTAACTTGGCCAATTCCCAAGCTCCCGACGTCTTGGCAGTCTGTCTAATATATTTCCAGAGGGGAGAGTGTGCAGGTTCACTTTCTCTAGCCCATCCAAACCAAAAGGCAGCAACAAAGAGGGTGACGGAGCACTGGAACAGGTTGCCCAGAGAGGTTGTGGAGTTTCCTTCCTTGGAGATATTCAAAAGCTGTCTGGACACAGTCCTGGGCAACGTGCTTTAGGTCACCCTGCTCGAGCAGGGGAGTGGGAGTAGATGATCTCCAGACGTCCCTTCCAACTGCAACCATTCAGTGATTCTGTGATTCTTTGAACAATAGGAAGTATATTTCATTTCTGGAGAAACAGAAGTAGTCTTGTTGTGATTATATCTTGATGGATTCAGAATGAAATGTTGGAGTATTAAATTTCTGCAGAAAAAAACCCCAGCAAAATAAAATAATGTATTTTCCTTTTGCCATTGATTTGAGATTCAAAGTTTTCCAAGATTTAAGAATCATCTATAGAACCTGAATTTCCTTTTCCAGGTAGCTCTTGCTTATGGCATGACACATAGCTGACCTTAACAAAGCTCTCTTAGAGTACAGCGACCTGAAGCATTGCTATAATTTATGGCAGATGTCTTGAATTCCTGTTCATAGGCTGCCTAGCATTCATAGTGCTTCTTGCATCTTCTTGCATCTTGGTGTTTCATCAAATCACATTATTATATAAATATGCAAACATAGTATTTAAGCCCATGGGACGACTCTGAGGGAGAAAAAATGCAAAAAGTGACAAAAAAAAGGTATTTAAATATTTAGTGAGAAAATATTAATGATATGGGGATATTCAAGAGAAGAACACAGTGAAATAGTAAGTGCTGTGTATATCAGTAGCTAATAAAAACAGTGGCTCTGGAGGAAGATCTACTGTATGAAATATTAAACGCTCACTGCTTTTGGAAATAACTTCATGCCATAACAAAACATTTTGCTTAGGAGATATTTATGAAACTTTTTTTCATACAATGTTTCATTGATTTCTTTCTCATTTTATAAGGATATTTAGGGAATATAGTTGTGCTATTTTCAGTACAGGGCTGTTCATTTCTGTGTGAATAACTGTGGAAGGTCAGAATCCTCAGATCCATTGGAAGCGTTACATCATTCAGAAATAAGCTGATTGCTTCACCAAAGCTACAATTCAAAACGAAAATCTTTTTTTACTTCCTAAAACAAGATCAATCCACATCTAGTGAGCAGAATTACATACAATACCTTCCCACAGAAATTCCAGCCTCTGCAATGACTCAGACCAATAGTTTACTCCTACCAATATCAGTCGCAATCAGAAGGCCTACTGGCAACATTCAGATCAGACATAGGCATAAGTCTTTGTTGAATGTCAGATCTGACCTAATGGACAAGCTCAGCAACAGGCAAGAGGGAAGTAATGTGAGGGAAAAGTGATGTCACGATCCTTACACTTAAGCAGATGGGATAATCCATCTAATCCACCATCCCGATACCTGTAACACTCAGAAAGACTCTGCAAGAAGCGTCTGGAAAACAGAGTCCCATCCTACCATTTAGTAGCATTGACCTCTCTTCCAAATATCATTTGATTTGCCTGAAAATCCTTTCCACTGCACTTCAAAATGCTTCCGTCCTCCATATAGATCTCTTGGTCTTTTCTTCATATACTGAAAAAAATGTCATCTTGCAGTAATGAATTCACAGAACGAATGTTTGAACAATCAGACCTTGTGAACAATGTTTATGCATATGCATTAGCTGCTCTGAAAGTTTTGTTTAATGAATAATCATAAAGATAATGCAATTGATTCCCTGATCCAGGAAGAGTGTCATTTTAGGTCACAGAATTAAGGGATATAACAAATTAGGACATTCCCGGCATGAGAATGACACACAAAGTGATGATAAAGGAAATATCAAAGCTGGAATGCATGGTGTGATAGAAAAGACCACTGGAGGAATTTAAGAAGGGCAAAAAAGAACAAGGAAGGGGGAACTTGTGATGGATTTGATGCCTATAATAAACTATAAAAACACTGGGTTGGCTACAGAGGGGAAAAATAGTCTTGTAGAAAGATATAAGGATGGTCAGCTAAAAATGCATTTCCACAGCCAAGCTCCAGAAGGCTCATTTCAAGAAGTGATAATAATAATTTGGGAACTGTATTTTGTCACGAGCCTAGGCAAGGATAGATGATGCTATATTGGAATGCAGAACTGGGTGCTCAGGTCAACGGCAAGAGGTTTGCCTTGTCTGCAAAGGCCTAACAATTTGAAATATGATGGATGCAGAGCCAAGGAGGCCTGCAGCTAGCCTGGGTGTGAGTGGATGATAACAGGAGATGACCACCTCAGGGGCAGAGTGGCTATTGTCAGAAGGGGACTGGTGGTAGAGGAGAAAAAGAAAGAAGCCAGCAAGCTTACAGGGGGAAAATAAGGAGATCAGAATAAGTCCTTTTAAGACAACCCAGAAGAGCTGTCAGAGAGGGAGTATGATACATTGGAATAGGGTTGAGGGAGATATATTGAGAGTTGTGAGGTTTCAAAAAGACGTTAATAGCTCTCCATCTTTCTTGTAGACTAGACGCAGTATAGAGTTCCCTGAACAATATGCAAGCAGTGCAGGGGGAATTTCACCCCTCATTATAATGCAGCCACCCCTCGGGCGGGTAGACCCATTTCAACCTCTCCTAACACTAGAAGGGTAAGCAGAGAGCCATTTTCCCTCTTGAAACTATTAAAGTAGTTTATATGAGCCAAATGTAATTATCCAAAATGAAATTTAGCCAGCAGACTGGTTTTACATTTCTTCTGAAGTAAAACCACCTGAAATAGGGAGGATTCCTTCTAGCATAAAGCTAGGGTATGGATTCAGCCCTGATTAAGGCAGAATAAAATGTTCCCAAAAGCACTGTTCCTGAAAAGGCGCTGAGTTAACCGTAGCCCTCCGTCTTTTCAATGTGACAAGGGTGCTCAGCACCTTGTGGCATGCCCTCACGCAGTGCATACACGGGGGTAATTTGAAAGGCAAACTTTCACAAAGACAAAGGGAGATTTACTTTAATCTTTGGAACAGGATTTGGTCAAAGATCACATTCTTTCGTACTGCCTAAAAAGCCTGTGTTGACCCCTCCTGAAAGGCAATCAGATCTAACAAAATCATAGTCCCAAATGGCACGGCTGGAAGGTGGCTAGGGCGTAATTCAGGGTGGCAAATCTATAGGCCCACATTCACTGGGTTTGGACCCCATGATGAGAAATGCTGTAATCCAGCCACAAATTGCCCAGACAAGAACTCGCTGGTCGGACTCCTCTGCAGCCTGTGTGCAATGCCCTGAGGCATTGCACCTTTGCTGCAACCTGGCCAGATAGGTAAGTGGGTGGGAATAGGAGCAGGCATAGGGCTGTGGAAGACTTAGGCTGGCTATCCTCTGCCATGGCCACCCTCCAATGGCACACCTTTAGAGAGTACAGGGACAGTTTTGCCTTTGTGGTTAAAAATGAAACAGGAGTCTCAGAAGGAAGTCTCCTGAGCATCTGCGTCACTGTTTATTTTACTGTTTCATTTTTACTATGCAGTGTCCCACTGAAACGAGTGATTTCTGCTGGCACCATTACTTCACTGGTAGGATTATTTTAAGAAAATATGCCCTGTGCATCACCTGATAGTTGCTCCCTCTTTTACTGGGCTGGTTATCAATGAGTTCACCTACAGAATTACTCCATGAAAAACAGTCTATAAGAAAAGAGAAAATGAAAGGCTTACCATGAAACATCTGCGTAACTGTCTTTCCCTGTTCTCTGCTTCAGCGTGTGTGAGGATTAGTTAGCTAATGTTCACAGAATGATGTGAAAATAAAATGTTCTACATAATCAGATTACATCCATTCATACAACTCCTTTTGTCCAGTAGGAACCTTGTCTTACCGAGCCACACATCATTTACCTCTGAACTGGATTATCACAAAGCTCCTGTGCATGTCTGCTCTTTAAAATCATTCAAGATGTAGCTTGCGTAGATGCTTCCTTGCTTACTGAACCTGGATGCAAAAAACTACCAGTCCTTCAAAAGTCATCAAGGAACCTTCTAGCTTCTGGTTGTTACCTTGATCTGCAAGCCTGTATTTGGTTTGTGAGGCAACTTCTCTCAACCAGTGAGTCCTGTTCACTGTTAAAAAAGCCATTTAGAGCTCTTATTCCTAAACCACAACTTGTGTCTGGCCGGAGGGAGCACTTCGTGGATAGCCCTTCCTTCTGAAATTACTCTCTTTGGCAAAACCTGCCTATGACCCTTGAGGGCCACGTGAGGAAGGTCTATTTGCCTTTGAGTCAGACCTTAGGCCCCCTCAGCGCTGTAAGTCTGGTGGAAGGTGTTGCTTTCTTCTAACTTCAGCATGTTTGACTCCTGATTTTATCCTGGCTATTTTGCTCAGAGCTCCAGCTCTTTAAATCAGATCATTTCACAGTAATTTCACCTTTCCTTTAAAACACAGATTGGATGCACTACTGATGGTGATTGGAGGCCTCTCTTTTACTGTATCAACAGTCCCCAACTCCTGATGTCTCACTAACAACCTTAGCAAAGCTATGCCAGACCCTGTATGATTGCACTGCTGGAAATAGAGAAAGCAGGAATCAATGTCTGTTCCAAGCACTTACAGAAACAGTTTACGGTCTCTCAGCAGACTAATGGTCAGGCAGGGAGGCTATGGGCTTAGTAAACACAAAGGAAACCTTTTTCGAAAAAGTAGGGCATGGCAATGTCTTTCTAAATGCGTGGTCTATACCGGTTTTCCTTTGCTTTGCAAAATGCCATGCATCTTTTCTACAATGGCGATTGCCTAGGGCACCCCCTGCGTTCAATACTTTGAGCCACAGCAGAGGTTAACCTTTGAGTGAGATATTCAGCCCTAGTTTGAAGTCTGATCCTGAGAAATATATTGTTTCTAACTCTACAACAAAGATGTCTACAGATAAAAGCAGATAGGGTTTCTAAAGCTTTTTTAACTTTTCTAGAGAATCTGTGTCTTTAGGGATCTCTCCACACGTCTTAAAATAGTCTAAGTTCTCCTCCGAGGGTATTGACTGTTCTAATTTTCATTTGGGGATTGTTATATTCCCAGGCTAGCACAGTACATGTACATTGTGATGGTTTTCCTGACTGCACCCATCTATCGTATGTTCTTGGTTTGCCGCTACTGAGCAGTAGCTGAAATATATAATGTACAGCACTGAGCTATTTTAGATGTGACAATAAAAATAAAACATATTTTACAGTAATAGCTCTTATCAGTGTCTCATTTCAACCAACTCATGTACTTACTTGCATTTTTTTTATTTCATTTCTCAAAACAGAATTCTCCAAAATATTACCATTTCTTCAATCCCCCCCTAGACAGCCACTGTATTCTCCAAGGGACAGATTCGAATACCCCTTCTTTTTAGGAATGGTTCTGTAGCTCACATATGATGTGGTTAATTTCATGGGGCAGCGATCCCTGTCTCATTGAGTTTGCAATCTAAAATACGAATTGCACTTGGGTTTCATTTCATGTATACATCTACAGAGAAAGAGAATTAGAGGCAGTTTTTCTTTCTGAATGGTACAATAGTACTTTGCAAGTTTCAAAATATGATACATAAAAAGAACTTGCTGGAAACAATTGAAAGATTTTTGCTGCGATATTCAGGGCGCTGACGTTGTTTTCATTCTGCATTGTTTGAAATGGATTCCTTTTCGGTCTCTTCAGTTAATAAAGCCAAAAACAGCTATCCAAAATACTGTTGGAATCATTTTCTGTATTCAATTACAAAACTTTTTTTCAATTTTTGGTTAATAACAACATTCAAATTATTTACACTGTTTCCTTTATTTAGGACATCTACTTAATTTCCTTTTCAGTTCTAGAAAGGCCCAAACTTTTGGGGAAAAAAATGAAGAAGAAAAATAGATTTTGACAACTTTGAATGAAAAACAGTAATTTTTAAAGTTTATTTCTGATGGGAAACTTTTCCTTGGAAAAAAACTCGACCAGCTGTACAGGCAAACCTAACAAAGGAGCATAGACTTTGTAAATCTATCATTTAAATGCAAGATCCACTGGGGTGAAATATGGCAACTGTTTAATAATGCACAGCAGCACCATGCAGCAATTTAAGATGAGAATACAGGAAGAATGACATATGGAATTGAAAATGCAGGCTGAGTGTAAGTAGGCAAAATGTAATCATCCGAATGTGAATTTTGCCACGGCAACAGAGTAGGCATCCCTGCACTTATAGATATTGCCATGAAATCTTTAATGACAACTTGCCAAGATTTTTTTTGTCCTCTTTTTAAAAAATGACATCCAGAAACATAGTGACCCCAACTTCTCACTTACGTATTGTTTCACAGTAACTCAGAGGAAAAAGTTCTCCATTGTGAATCATTAGTACCATTTCTTTTTAATAGGGACTGTGTTTTTGGAGTCCCCTTTGACTGGATGACGTAAAAGTTGCTTAGATATCTGAGAAGGTCAAAAAGACACCACACGGAATTCCATTTGGATGTGGGAGGGAGGGGACACAGACTCCTACTTTCCATTTTCTAGAATGTGTTTGTATTTTTAAAAGCTTGAATTATTTCTTCCTTCCATCCTTCCTCGAATGGAGTCTTGCTTGCTGTCAAGCCTCATTGGTTTCCCCCTGTGTGGATGGACCTGCTTTGCTGCTGGAGTGACATTTTAAAGCCACAAGGGATGGATGACCTAGTGCACTGCTTTTTTTTTTTTTTTTCCTTTTTTCTTCTGGTCTGTATAAAAAAAAAAACAAAACGGCCCTTTGTCCAGCAAGGAACATACAATCAGAGGATAAAACAAAACTTTAACTCATCATGTTTGAATGCAGAATGAAGTAGTCCCTGCAGCAAACTAATTCCAAATAAACCACCAATTCAAAGGCCAAAAGTTACAGTAATGTCCTATTAATATATAACATAAGCATTCTCCAAGGGTTAATGAATTATCACTGCATCTTTATAACAATGTTCAGATTCTTAAAAATATTCCCTGAGCTAAACTGTTCCCAGTGACATCTATACCCAGTGACACATGTTAAATGGGGACCAAAACATGGCTTATTTCTTCTATAATGCTTGATGGAGTTTTTAAAGAAAAAGTTGGGAAATGATCTTGGCACAGGAGCCAAGGCTTTTAGGCACCTGGGATGCGGAAAGGTATTACCAGGACTTTGAGAAGTGCCTGGAGCCTAGCTACCAGCCTTGCCAACAAGAGGTGGCCATCAGAACTTTGGAAAAATCTCAGGAAGCGCCATCTGATCTTGGCTAGATTTTAGGCAGTGAGAGATCCAGAAAATAAATAAATAAAGGTCCAGAATTAATTATCATTGGAAAGGAAACATGACACACTTGTTTGGAGAATGCTGACTTCAAAGAGCTCCTCATTAGAAGAATAAGCCAGAGTCCAAACTGGATATAGAGCATGCTATTAAGAAATTATAACATTGTGACTTTGCTGAGGTGGTGGTAGTGGCTGTTCTCTTTTTTTTTCCCCAAGCACTGTCCATGTAAGTACTAGGTCTAGAGATCCCGATGCTTCAAGCCCCTTCTTGCTGGAGGTAGTAGGTGCATGCACACATAGTTGTAGAAATACCCTGCTCCAAAGTCCTTGCAGTTTGACCTGCCTTCCTGCCTGCTTGGATCAGAATTCACAATATACACTATCATACGCAAATAACTATGAAAAAAGTAAGTTCTCTACCTTGAGAATCTCACAAACTAACCTCTTATTAACCATGTAAAAAAGTGATCACTGTTTCTTAAGTTCAATCACTGCCTCTGCTGTGTATGTGTGCCGAGTGCTGAGCACCTTGGCCTTGATCTTGAATGTGACCATTGCTTCCATACTCACAAAAACAATAGGCTACTGGGCAGAGAAAAAAGATTTGAACTTATTAAAATAATGAGAAAAACACTCCCCTTGAAGGAGTCATTTTCTATATTGCAGAAGGGAAAGAATAGGCACATTATGGTTCTATGTTGGTATCATTCACTCTGTTACATAACATTGCTCAAGTTTCCATGACTGAAGAGATAAAGCTCTCTTCATCTCCATTGGGAAAGAGAGCTGGGAAACAGCGAAGTCACATTAGACAGTTAGACAAAGTCAGAGTCGATGAAAAATAATGGGGAAGAAAGGTACAGTGTTGGAGTAGAAAAATATCACAGTGATCAGCAAAAAGAGCAGGGTGGACATACTGAAGAGCAAGTAGAAGGATGTAACTGTTGAGGTAAAGCCAGGAGTCAGGCCTATGTAAATCACAAAGAGAAACTTGAAAAAGTCACAGTAAGAGGCAGTGAGGTAGGTTGGTGAGACGGTGGGATAGTGTGGTCAGAGCAGTTGAGCTAAGGAGTGGCAAGAAAGTTTAAAAAATATAGGCAGAAATATTGGCAATGTGGCTAAACCAAGAAGGTTACATGACATCCACAAAGAAATAAAGATTAAAATAATTTGAACCGTCCTTCTGGTGTCCCACCTTCTTATCTTCTTTGTTCTCTTTCTCCTTCTCCCTTCATCCTGCAAAGGAGCATGGCTTTTGTTGTTCCTGTAATGGCGCTGAGCATGTTGCTTTTGCTGACCAAAGAATACTGGTGATAAGAAAGAACCGACAATGAAAACTTGGCTTTTCTGAAATTCACAGGAATACGTCATTATTGTCAGCGGCCAAGATTTTAGCTGTGATGTTTTGTGAACTGTGCAGGTGGGGTCTGTATGCCCGAAAGCAGATATATACAGCATAGATGTCTACATTCCCTTCATAGTCAGTGAAGGGAAATATGCATTTCAGGGCTGTTATTCATTCATCCTGAAGCAGATGTGTAAAATGGGTGAGGCTAGTCACATCTTAAAATAACCTATTTCTCTGTGATAAATAAACACTAAGCTTAGGACCCCTGGCTCATATGTAGACATCCATAATGCAGGTGGGAGAAATCCTACTGTCTGCGTCTGAAAAAGTCAGTGCGGAGTGTGAATAAGCCATGAAATAAGACTTCTGAAGGAAACTTAAAACTTACGTGTTGGGCTGGGGGTCATTCCCTTCACACTTCCTCATGACACTTTCTTCTTTCTTTTCTTTCTAAGTCATTTTCAGGAGTAAAAATGAATGTCTTCCAATCTTGGAGTAACTTGAGTGCATAATATTGCTTGAAATGAGGGTTGGTTGGCCTGAGGCAAGCTTCTCATCAGCTCCGCTGGAACTGCGGAGTGATCAAGGTGGTAGATGGATGAACTGGCTTGAGGTGGTAGAAGAGAGTCAGTCTGAATTAGTCACCTGTTGTGATGAGGAGAAGGCACTAAGCAGATAAGTTCTGGAAAAAAATATATACATCACCCTCCAATTTTCCAGTCTCTCATTTCTACTCCCTAATGAAAAATGAAGATGCAAGCAACTAAAAGTTCCAAAAACTTTAAAAGGCCATCCAAAACGGGACGGGAGAAGAATCTGCAGCACTTTAGAAAGTACTGTATATATAAAGCAGATGGCCCATTTGCTTTCCTGAAGTATAAAAATTAAATTGATGCTTCTAAAGCAGCATCTAGGCCTTTAAAGATAATAAACAGACATGATATCGTTTGCACTGACGTGCAGAAAACTCTGATAACGGACTGTGTGAGCAGATTGGGTCCAGTCCACTTTCTATGAACTAAAAGATGTACAGTGCGATAGGTACAGATGGCATAGCCATGCTGGGCTGCTCCTATACGTCTTTTGTTTAGTAAATACTATATTTAATGGTCTGCCATTAACTGATGAACATAGAAAGTTAATTTTGCATTTAAATAGTAAGACTTCAAGGAAGTTCATAATCGCATATCTTTTTACCAAATGACAAGCCATATGCTAGGAAATTTCAAGCTGCTAATTAAACAAAACATGCCCAAGCATGTTTTTTAACAAATACTGTATATCGTTATTTAAATTCAGGGCAAATACTGTTCTGAGCACTACAAATAGCTAAAATGGTGTTTAATAAGATACACCATCTGCATTTCAAATTGATGCCACCCACATTTAAATCTCTTTCTTGAATAATCCCACTTAACAGTTACTGGGGAAAAGAAATGCATTCATGGCTCTTTCGGTAAATTTGATACCACTGTTCTCGGCAACTCCCATTGGTTAGTAAACTCACTGGGGTAAAACTGCCAAAGTGCTAACTGTCAGCTTCCAGATTACTCTAATCGAGAAGCGTACAAACCCAGCTGAACTGTCCTTTAAGAGCTCTGAAAAGGGTGTAATTGGAAATAAATCAAAATAAATGTGGGGTTGTTGTTTTTTTCCCCCTCACTATATTTAGATCCTCAGAGCTACTTACAAAGCCATGTAACATATGGAATCCTACAGATTGTACAATCTCCTGATAGTGGCTAGGACCATCCCTTAATCAGCTGAGACTCCGCGTACTGAAATGAAATCCACAGAATAAAGCTCCAAAAGTGGAAATTACAGCAGTAGAACATACAGACATTTTTCATGCTCTCTCCCTCTACCCCCCCAAGAGGATGAATCTGAAACACAACAGCTGTTTGGTTTAGCATCCAAACATCCACCATGTACTGTGTTTGCAGGTGTTCAGAGTCCAAAACACATTGCCTTGTCTAAGCCAAGACAGCTGGTGTTAAGTCACGGGCTAATTGTTACAATTCTCCTACTAAGGAACTATAGGGGATAGTTATGACAATTAACATGGCAGAAATGTAGTGGGGAATGGAGGGACTTCAGCAAAGACATCTGCTGCAAAAATAAAGTCAATACTTCCCTTTTCTAATGTTTTTTGTTCTGCAGCTGATGTTTGCTTGTGGACAACTGCGCTCTCCCTGAGATTATTTATTAGTACACTGCAAAAACTACTTCCAGTGAAAGCTGTGGGGTTGTCTTAAAACCTCCAAGAGCTTGGAAATATAGCTAAGGCTTCCGTTCTACCTGGCTGGGTCAGAAATATATTGAACTACACCCGGAAGATTAAACCAGAGCTAGCCACGGCACTACATATAGCAAAGCGAAGAAGCAGCTCAGGGCTTCTGCCTTTCAGCATTAATCGAATTTACGTTTTTGTGATTTAGACAGGTGGCGTAAAGATGAAATGTATCTTTTATTGTATGAAAGGCTCTAAAAATTCAGTGCAGGGCACCATTAAACTGCCTCTCCTGTGGTCTCTGCGATGGCAAAGGGACCATATGTTTTCCTAGGTGTTTGGCTTGTTATAGATAGAGCTGCCTGGTCAGTTGTTTTACTTTATATCTTCTTCTCAATCTGCTCCCTTAGGAAGGAGTCCTGTATCGCACGCTACGTCTTCCCCAAAAGTAAGGATTAACTGAAAGGGTCCTATAACAGAAAGCACAGCTTGGCTTGAAATTTTGACCCACCAGCCCTGGTGTTTGAATCGCAGCGAATTTCCTGAGTTTTTAAGATCTCGGTGAACTGTATGCTCTGATGTTGCGCACTACCCATGCAGTGTGGTTCCCCTTTCACACTGCATCCGGACTCATCCACTTGCTTTGCTTGTGCATACTTTCAGGTTTCCACTTTGGACTTCAAAAGGTCAGAGGCGGGGAAGCTATTACTGCCCTAAGAAGCTTCTGTCACTGGCAAATAATAAATCCATCAAATTTTTTTAAAACCATTCTTGCAATTTTCATTTGTTTGGCTTTGGTTTCCAGCCACTGCTGCTTGCTACCTCTCTCAGTTTCCTTACGTATGTGTTTGATGCTTTCTTCTTCTGAACAATCTTAATTTCTGAACTAAACCACAGCAGCTCAAGAGAATCCTTTAAAGTCCACAAAGCCTATTTAGGATGTATATTTTAAAAAGCTTAAGCCGTGTTGTAGCCAAAAAACCTAGTGGAAACCACAATGTTAAATCCCTTGCAATGCTTTGAAAATAATCCCTTACCACACTCCATTTGGGTATGTTTTTCAGAAATGCTCAACCTTTTTCTACTCTGCTCTTAATGAATTCAGTGGGAGTTTCTCCACTGACTTCAGTCAGAGCACAGTTAGGCGGACACTGAGTACTTCTGAAAAATCTCATCCTTTATGTATCAATCTATCCATTTTTAATTAAGTACAAAGAGGACTTTAGTCTATATTATGGATTAATGGGCTGAAAATTTTCTTTTGAATTTACATAAGCCAAAGAAATTATAATAAAAACAATAAATCTAACAGTACTGGTACATTTTGTTTCCTTTCTTTATTCCCTCCTTTCCTTTTTCTTGAATTACTCTCCTTGAAAAGCAGCCAAATAGATATTCTTACTTTTCTTTAAAAAAAAAAAAAAAGGAATTGCTGAGTTCAGCACGGAGTGCATTTTGTCTGCTAAGTTATGAATCTGAGGTTAATTCTAACAAGGTTTTTAATGGATATACTGAAAATCCTTTAATCTCTATAGTGCGGCTAGCCAATATCACTATAGCTAAGAAAGAAAAATAATTAATTCTTTGCAGTAAATAGAAATAGTTTCAAAAAGCAGGAAGGGGGAAGGCCAGCACACAGAAATATTTAACTTAATCAGCCCATATAGCAGTGTTTCTTCAACTACCTGGAGACCTCCACATGTTATGATCCATACACCGAGTGGCACCTGACTCTACTAACTTTTCTACAAATCCCTCCTTCAAATCCTTCTTTTCCATTACACCTATTAGAAAATAAATCAACAAGATTAATCTTATTCTGTGTCCTTTCCAACAAGCTGGCCTCCTCTCTCCTTGGGTTTCCCGGCCTCTCTGGGTCCACCAGTTGGATGTGCTCTGCTGCAAGCTCTACCTTCCTTTCTGTGTGGGTGCCACACCTAGAAGCATACACTCCTGCTCTGTCTCTAGGGCTCAGAGATGTTACAGCAATGCAAAGAATAATTATAGTGATATACCTCAATAGCTATAATGAAAGAGACAGCTCAAACGAGAAGACACTGTTCAAAATAACATACCATAGTCAGGACTCTGGAAACTTACTGAGTTGCAGATCTTGCCATATGAAAGCATCACACACATGACCTTATCTTGAAAGATGTTAAGCATTTCCAAATCCTTTTTCAGTAGTTTGAATCATTCAGGCTGCTTTTGCAGGTGAGTTGCCTGATGAAATCCAGGCTGCTGTTTGAAACTGCTCTTCTAGCTAGAAAAACATGTCCAAGGCCTCGGGTACCTTTGGAGCTGAGTGCTCCTCAGTGGTGCTCAGCGGCCCCTGTTAGCTCAGGGACATGAATTTCGCATGGCCTGTGCAAATGAGGGCTGGTCAAGCCCAGCATATTCATTTACCCAGTAGGTGCAGCCAGGAAGACGAAGCAGCCTCTAATATAAAACATCAGATGAAAAACAAAAATCTTTGCTGCTCACTGCACAAAATGTTGCCCCTGGGAATCAAAGGTTGTTTGCCATGCTGTGCTTGCCAGAAGCCTGCCTGCCACTAGGACAGAGATCAATCTGCATTGCAGACTAAAAAGGAGAAACTTGCAGTGATTGCAAAACAGGCCTTGAGACTTATCAGTACCAAAAACACATCCACCGCTAATGTTCAGCTGAAACATGCAGAGCCCGGATTGTCTACGAGAGCCTAGTCTGCACTGGCTTTTCCTGCAAAATATTTGCCAGCACACGTTCACGTTTAACCACTTGTCCATGACATAATGTATTGTTCTGTAATTACTTTTTTATGCCATGTTCCAGCCACATTCTGAATGTCACACTTTTTAATCAGCTGCAAGCCCATTAAAAATGATGCCTTTTCAATTCTTATGTCCTGGGAAGGCAGGACTGCTTTAAAGGAGTGAGTGAAACTTGTAAACACGAGTAAGTGATATAGGAAAATTAGCTGTATTTATTGCTTAAAAAAAAAAAAAAGAAGAAGCAATCTGTGAATAATTATTTTCTTCCATTAAATGATGTGCTGTCTTCTGACAAGACCTTCTCCAGGATTTGTTGTGAACGTGAATATTTTATGAATACTTTTAGGAAATACAACTTTCTTTTAATCAGTCATCAAGTTACACATCATGGCTTTACTATTTAAAGATGAAGTGGACCTCTGGCATGTCCAATAAGAGAATACTTATTCTCTTTTTTTTAATAAATAGGTAGGATGATAATTTCTGGTACAGTTTCCTGCAGCTCCCAAAATCATGCTGCCATGCAGACGTTTTCCAGAGCTTGGAGTACAACTAAGTAGATCTCTGAGTGAAATACAACACTAAGGCTGAGCTCACGCATCTGCCTGCGAGGCGGAGTATCATCCCAATGCTGGCACAGCAGTGACCACAGACAAAGGGAGATATGATACGCGGCTGCAGCCACCTCGTCTCAGCCAGAAAACTGCCTTGTTAAACTAACTCAAGTGTTGGAAGAAGTGGCAGGATACAGCAATGACAACTCTGAACAAAGTAACTTTGAGAGTAGCAGTGCTCATTCAATGTTATGGTTTGGACCTCTCCATACTTGTATGCTCCTGTGTTGTTATAGGTGAAATCAAGAAAATCTACTATGTCTTTAGAACCATCTAACCACCAGGGATCCTAGGCTTCAGGTTTTAACTTGGTTTCTCTTAAGGGTTAAAATAATACAGAACGGTAGATTTTCCCACATTTTGCCAGGGCAGGATTTTTTACTCTGACTTTGAAATAGAATGAGGGAGAGAGGAAGGGAGGAAAAGAAACAGAAGGAAAGAAGGAAGGAAAGAAGAGAGAGGGGGGAAAGGAGGGAGGAAGGATGGAGGGAAGAAGGAGAGGAAGGAAAGAAGAGAGGAAAGAAGGAAGGGAGGGAGGGAGGGAGGGAGGAAGGAAGATGGACAGACTGTGGAGGATTGCAGGAAGAACTGGGACATAGCTCAGGTTCTTGGGAGACAAGGATGCTGCACAGGAGAAAGGGTTGAATTTGCTCAGCTATCCCCAACATACGGATTTTTTCCTGTAAAAGAAAGATAGATTTTCACACACAAGAAGTGAAAGGTTTCATAGGTTTTGATTTTTTAACAGAAGTTATGAATTCTCCGAAGCAAGTACACACTTTTCATTAAAAAAAAATGTTTAGTTGACAATCCAGTTTTCTATTACATGATTTTCTGTGGGAGTTCCTAATGTGACCTCAAGGGAGAGAATTGCTGCCATTGCACTGACTAATAAAACAAAGTTACAGGTGGGGTACGGCAATGAGAAAAGAGAAAAGAATCCCAGGGGAGCTCTGAGAAGTTGCCCATGTGTCATTGATCTAAGTAAATACTACTGACTGATGAAAGCCCTGTTTACACCAGAAATGAAGGCAAAAGAGGCTTTAACCTGAGGGGTCAACGCTGATGGGTTTTACTCTGGCATAGTAAGGAATAGATCTTAACTCAAACTGACTAACTACAGGTGGAACTGAACTGAGGAGAGATTGGTCAAACACCTTTCTTCATCTTTAATAAAGTGCCTTTTAATTGCAAACAGTTATTATTACTGGACCCTAGAGTATGCCTCCTTTTTCCTATCTCCTTTTCAGACACTATGATCCTAATCATCAGCAGTAACCCTGTAATCTTACCTAACTGCTTAGCTTGTGCAAAGTATATTGTTGGTATTTTAAATATTAAGGGAAATTTGATTTTGCCCTTTAAAGAACTGTATTTCTGTATCACGGTGATTAGGTGTGAGTATTCCATTACCCTCTCCCAGATAAAGAGAGCCTCCTGGGAGTGTTTAGTGGGGAAGTATTGTACTGTAATGACTTTTAGACGCAATATGGAAGTGAGCGGTCTACAGTGATGCAGTTTATTTAGTAAAAGGGCTGCTTCAAAACAAATTTAAAAATTACTTCAGTAATACTACGGCTGTTTCCTCTATGGAAGAGATGTAGGAACTGGGTAAGAAATGGAAGTGCAAGGAGTTGATCTACCGGACAAAAAGTTTAGTATGGGGTTGTCTCCAAACTACTCATGATTTCAGACTGAACTCTCTTAAGTAGCTGCAGCAGAAACTGAAAACAAAAGGGAGAAGGGGATTGTTACAGTCACAAAATTGCTGCAGCAGGAGCAGTTAACCAATGGTCCAATACTTATGGCCTTTATCCCACAGATGAAAGACGTAGATTCATTTGCTTCTTCTGCCTGAAGAGGTTTCAGCTTGCCTCTCAGAGGAGCACCCGTGCTGCTACGTCAAGGACTATTCCTGTGAGGGAAAAAGAGCAT